GTCGGGTACAGAATCATGCGAATCCCCGCTACCTGTCTGGTTGTCCCGTCCGTTCGTGGTATGAATGGAGCCCGCCCGGGAGAGGCAGTTAACCTGCGGTTAACCGCAGACCGCAATGCCTGAGGGGAGGTAGATAAGCGGCACACTCCTAAGGCTGGGTGGTCGGCCGTTCGGTACTTTGCGGGGTGACGGGGCTAAGTGGCGGCACACGCCTATGGCTGGGTGGTCGGCCGTTTGGTACTTTGCGGGGTTACGGGGTTAAGTGGCAGCACACGCCTAGGGCTGGGTGGTCGGTCGTTCGCACCGACGAATGAGGCTTTATATTAGTTTGCATTATCCGTTCGCCTGGCCTGCATGCCGCTAAAATAGAGTCTTAATAAGCAGAAACAGGGAATGACAGTGTAACGAGTCTGTATAACGAAGTCTTTGTAACAACAAGGTATTCATAGTGCCCACTCCTAGTGTTAAATGCCATCTTAAATTCCTGATCCTAACCAAATTGAATGCACTCCTAAGGTCAAGTTTGGTAAAGATCTTAGCACCCTGGAGTCTATCAAAAAATTCGGATAAGGGGAATGGGATAGGCATTCTTTATAGTAATCTTGTTTAATGACCTGTAGTCAATGCAAGGACATAACTCTCCATCTTTTTTAGCTACAGAAAAAAATATCCTGCTCCAGCAGGCGAGGATGATTTATGTATATGGCCTTTTCTTAACGATTCTATGATGTACTCATCCATGATCTTACATTCTTGTGGGGATAGGGCATATACTGCTCCCTTAGGAGGCATAGCCCCAGGCAACAGATCAATGGAGCAATCCTATGACCTGTGTGGAGGAAGAACATCAGTCTGGCTTTTACTAAATGCCTCCCTAATCCTCCCAATACTGTACAGGAATTTCGGGGGTCAGAGACGTAGCAGTGGGTAAAGCAACAATGCCCACTTTTTTAGTAATGTGAAACATGCAGTTTTCCTGACAGTCTTTACCCCATTCCAGTATTTCCCCTCTAGTCCAGTCAATATGCGGGTTATGCTTTATGAGCCAAGGAAAACCTAATACGATGGGACAATAAGGGGAAGCGATTACCTGGAAGTTAATGTCTTCTTTATGCAAAGCTCCTATCATGCAAATAGGCAAGGTCTCATGGGTAATCAATGGTTGAGATAGGAGTCTCCCATCAATAGCCTCAACTGCTACAGGTGATGATCTCTCCTTGACTGGAATAGTGTGTTTTTTAACAAAATATAAATCAATAAAGTTACCAGCTGCACCTGAGTCAACCAGGGCTTTGCATGAAAAGTTCTCCTTGTTGCAAAAGGCAGAAATATCAAGAAGAAATCTGCTTTGGGAATTGCTTGAGGACATATCCATTGCACCTAAGACCTGTCCACTTAAGGTTCTTAGGTGCAGAAGTTTTCCAGACGTATAGGATAAGCATCTCTCATGTGTCCTTTTTTGCCACAATATAAGCACAGACCATCTTTTCTCCTATACTGTTTCTCTGCCTCAGACAGTCCTGTAACCCCTAACTGCCTAGGTTTGGGTTCAGACAGCATCGGAACGCCAGAGACAACAGGTTTGGAGAATCAAGGTGCTAGTGACATAGTCAAACGTCTAGTTCTGTTTCTAGCAATTTCCCTAGTCCTGAGTCTATTATCGATCTGCATCACATAAGTAATGAAGTCATTTAAGCCCTTAGGTAGGTCTTTGGCAGCAATTTCATTAAGAATATTCTGGGATAATCCTTTTTTTTTTTTTTTAAAGCAGCGATTAATCCGTTATTAGTCCAGTCTACTGTTACCGGGAAACTGACGGAGGCCAAGCACAGAGAGATGGACACAGGTTTCTTCAGGAAGGAAGAGATCTTTATTCGATTCACCGACCGGGACTCAGAGGGACTTATGTCACCAAAAACAGCAAAGATCTGAGCACTGAATACATAGAGTACATTCCTTATATAGCACTGTAGCTCCTCCCATAATTAGCTACGCCCACACATACCCTTAACCTAATCAATGAATAGAGTCTAAACTCATCCATCCAGTCTAACCACGTGGCTCATCTGAAACAAAGGAGAGGGACGCGTAATTCCACTTCCTGCATTCCTGCACATGCTCAGTACAGTGATGACAGTATCTTAGCTACGTGTAACTAACTAACTGATACTACAAACACATGTACCTACATATGCCTTGTGGCAATCTTGGCCTGCTAAACTTTTATTTTACTGGAATTCCATCACATTCCCCCCTTTGATGCTTCTGATTTAAAATAATTCCAGATGCATCACCAATCATAGTTTGCTTACACCTCAAGTTGCCATAAACCAGACTAGACTTTGCGATCCTCTAAAGATACGAACCCCTCTGCATAGACCTAATTACCAAAGGAATCAGACATGGCAGAAGGAGACACAACATCAAAATCAGTATGACTCCACCAACCAATGCCTTGATTCCTCCAAACTGCTCATACCAACTACCAAACCAACTACTCGGATTATACCCTTTCCATACCCGAGTAGGTACATGTGCTAGCTTAACCATATGGCTAGTAAGCTCAGCTATTGCTTGCCCTTCATCATCTATTTGAAGACAACAATTGCTTAGATTAAACTTCCCACATACACCTCCCTCTACTGCCAATAGGTAATCCAAAAATAATCTATTCTGGTAGATGGCTGTCCTCATCCTAGTGTTATGCTTCGCTAGGAGATTGAGCGCTTGTGATGTTTCATTGGTAACTATCTCAACTACTGCTTGCAATCTTATAATACGATTAAGCATATATATTGGGGTTCTGTATCCATAAGTACCATCCTCTGCCCACGTAGCTGGCCCATAATAATCTATAGTACGCTGGGGAGGCCACTCATCATCTTCCCAGGTACCTATCTCTAGGGGTGCCCTTTTCTTCCTATGATTTACATCATATATGAGATATTGCAGGGAATTGGGAGCCTGAGCTCCATTCCCCAGCGGCAGGCTGAGTTACAGGGGACAGAGATAGTTGCTCCTGTCCCCCAGCAGCAGAATGAATTGCAGGGAATTGGGAGCCCAGTCTCCATTCCCCAGCGGGAGAAATTGCAGGGAATTGGGAGCCCGAGCTCCATTCCCCAGCGGGAGATATTGCAGGGAATTGGGAGCCCGAGCTCCATTCCCCAGCGGGAGATATTGCAGGGAATTGGGAGCCCAGTCTCCATTCCCCAGCGGCAGGCTGAGTTACAGGGGACAGAGATAGTTGCTCCTGTCCCCCAGCAGCAGAATGAATTGCAGGGAATTGGGAGCCCAGTCTCCATTCCCCAGCGGCAGAGTGTCCTACCGGGAATAGAGAGCCCAGTCTCCTTTCCCCAGCAGCAGGACTCTGTATGGGGAGCAGAGACAGTCGGTCTCCCTCCCCCGCGGCTGGAAGTATATATGGGAGAGGAGCTTGTTACCCCCTCTCCCCAGCGGCAGCTTCATGTACCAGGGGGAGACAGTAAGCCCCACAACGGTGCAGATGGGACTGTAGTCTCTACACTGCCAGCACAGGGGGTAGGGACGGTCGGTTCTGCCCCCCAGCGACAGAGCTGCGTGTCCAAAGGGGAGACAGTCAGTCTCCAGCAGCAGGACTGTGTATCTAAAGGGGAGACAGTCGGTCTCCAGCAGCAGAGCGGTGTATTTAAAGGGGAGACAGTCGGTCTCCCCCTCCAACAACCAGGCTTCAACCAGGCTACCCTCCCAGTAGCGCTGGCAACAGGGCAGAGTGCCGCAGGTCTCTGCCCACGCAGCAACCCACCCAGTCAGCGTACCCGTACCCAGCACAGCCGTGGTGAGGCACCTGGACATGGACAAGCTTCTCCTTTACCCAGGTGTAGTAACCATTTATTGTGGGTAGGCTGTGCTGTTGATTATGTTTTGTGGGTGGGCTGCTGGACTAACAAGGGCACTGACCGGCAGGAGGTCAGATACCCTGTTAGTCTGTTTGGAAAAGGGGAGAGATGTGACGAGACCAATCTCGCCACATTGCATTGGAGAAGCCTGGTTGCTCGCCTGCTGCCTTTGGACTATGGCCCCCTTTTAAAAGACTTTATTTTTGCCTGCAGAAAAGCTGTATTCGTGCTTTTCTGCCTGGGTTTCAGTAGATTTGTTTGAATGTGTTATACCCCAGATGGGAATCCCATGGAGCCCATTCGTATGAAACTGACTGTAAAGACTTTGGCTCCATGGTGATTAAACTGTATTTGTGTGGTCCGAGCGCCATTCACTTAATAATGTGCGCTCAGACCTGAGCTATCTGGGGATATGTGAAATGTCTGTGTTTTATGTATAAATGTGACTTTATGTATTTTAAAGTGCTTTGTGTCTTTTTGCAACCATGTGCTTAATGGAGTCTTGTGTCTGTCCTGGGAGATAATTCAATTACTTATCTCCAGGATAGAAGACTCTGAAACTGGTTTGGGCCAGAAAGCCATGCTTCATTTAGTCACAAAGGACTTTTTACTAACTGTTGAACCCCTTGTCTGATTTGTGCCATTTTTGAATATGTTGTTCCCCTGAATGGATTGATTGAGAATATGTAATTTTATGTGAATGTGATGTATGGTTTTGGAGTTATGAAAGTTGGGTAGAAAGTATGTTTTAACTGTTTGTATAATTGAGTTTCCTCTCAGGATAAGGGGAGGGAATATGTGGGATGTAACTGTGATATGATTGGTTGTTTTATCCCTCCCTGTGGGTGGTCCTGTATTTGAAACACTGTAATAAAAACCAGGCTGGGTGTGCCAGCACCTCAGACCACTGCTTGACCCTCAACACGGAGCCTTGTCTCGTTCTTGGGGGGATTCACTGTATGCTGTTAGAGACTGATTGCCAGGAGTGTAAGCTGTTCGTCTGCTTTTCCTGTTCGTCTGCTAGC